TTCTGTTTTGATTTTTCCATAATGATTAAGTGAATGATATGGAATGCAATCAAGTTTGACACTAGGGGGTTCATGCAAATGACTTTATTTTTTTACATTTTAAATTTTGTTAAATGTAACCACAAGGAAAGATGAAGACTGGGTGGGTAGGGGTAGCTTCACATCCAATTTAGAGTTTTGAATGTTTGAAAATGTCTGTTTGAAGGAAACATGTTATCACTGTGTTGCTTTTTTTTCTCCAATTGTAATAATGCTATTTTTTTTAAAGATTGTATTTTGTTTTCATTTGTACTCTAAAGTGGTAGATTATAGTGTCAAACAAGATAACAGCTTAAAAGAGAAATGGGGAAGAAAAATGTATTATTGAACTTTTTTCCTTCAGGGTAGATGTAAAGGAAAAATGGTCCACATGGTTACTCATCAAAACCTACAGAAGAAAACAAATAAAATAGGGAAAGAGTATAGGAAATGCCCCCATTCACTTGTTTTGATTGCCTATCAGTGCTTTTATTAAACAAAACAGAACAAAAGGAAAGACCACCCATGTTTCTGAATATAGGGAAACGTTCCATTTCTGTACTTCTGTACAGCTCATTGGTATGTTTGTGAAAAGTCTTCTTCCTCTGCCATGTGTAACGTTTGAATTATTTTCTCAAATGGTTTTAATCAGTTTATGTGAGTTTGCATGATCCCTGCATCTTGACCTAGCAATTCTTTTTGCCTTTAACATTTTATACTTTGATGGAGATTATTCTAGAACTCAGTTAATTTTCTAATTTTAATTTGGAAAATGCTCTGGGAATAAGAGACCAAGTGACATACATACCATTTAAAATATACTATTATTTTCCCTTACATGAACGTCACCAGCAACTTTGCAATGCAGTTTGATTTTTCTGTATGCTCAATCTCAAAAGCAATGAGGAGGTGACCAAATTCTACTTTTTCATTTTTTTTTCTGCCATCCCCATGGAGAGGCTAAAGCTTTCATAGGGCCATGCATCTGGTGCAAAGCAAGAATTTGGCGTTATAATTTTTAAATTAAAAGACGACACACAGCCTCTTTCTTTATCATGGCAGTTCGATTCATTGCTTACAGCAATCTCCAGCTTTACAGACTAAACATTTCTAATTGGGAAATGGATGGTTTGCATCTGAGATGGTGACTCAGGACATAAACTTTCCAATTTGGGGTAATTGTTTGTGAGTAGATGGCAGATTACTGCTGACCAGCTCCCGTGTTCTGTCTTGGAGGAAAGAATGAAAAGTTAATATACATATTTCACACTTCACTGAAACAAAATACTTACCCTGACATAGATAAGGCAATGAGACAGAGAGATATTTGCCATGCTTATTTGTTACAACCAAATATATGAAAGGTGTTCTTTTTCTGATGGATGAGGAATACACGATAGTATATTACATGTCTGCAACTGTGAAACGAGGATGATAAAAATACCTTCTTAGGTAAGTTATTGGGAGGATTAAATAGGTAATTCATGTCAAAGGTTCACACTGCACCTGGAACACAGTAATAGGTCAGGAAATGTTAGCGGTTATTGTTTATCATCATTGTCAGCATGATTACTTTTTATCCCTTCCTGTTAAGCAGAATAGCTTCTTTAATTATATAACATTCAGCTTCAGATTCTGCAACTTCATGATGGTTAGAAACATCAGTAACTTGAATTAATTTATAAGCTATATTTTGGCTTCTCATTTATGCTTTATATATTGGAATTATTTTGTGGTGATGGAAATCCCCTTTTTATTTTTTATTTTTATTTTTAAATTTTATTTTATTGAGTTACAGTTTAGAATGTTGTGTCAATTTCCAATGTAGAGCACACTTTTCAGACACACATGAACTTACATATATTCCCTGTCACATTCTTTTCCACAGTGAGCTACCACAAGATCTTGTATGTATTTCCCTGTGCTATACAGTATAATCTTGTTTATCTATTCCATATATGCCTGTCAGTATCTACAAATTTCAGACTCCCAGTCTGTCCCTTCCCAGCCATCTCCCCCCTGACAACCACAAGTTTGTATTGTATGTCTATGAGTCTGGGAAATCCCCCTTTTAAAGATTTCACAATCTCAGATAGTGGCTGACACCATCTTTTAATTATTCTACAAATTCATGACATTTATTCCTTATTCCAAATCAAACATTTTCTTTTGTTTTAGCCTTTGTGGAGTTAGAGATAGATAACTTGTCATAATATACTTAATATACTTGTCCTTATAAACAGTCTTGGTTTTAAAGTATTTAATATTTCTTCATTTAATGTATTTTCTTGTATTTGATGAATTAAACTATTTCCTAAGGTTAGGTTTTTGCTGGTATTGTTATTAAGATAATCTTATGTTTTATTTATTTATCTTAAAATTTAAAAAATTGAAATATAGTTGATTTACAATATTGTAATAGTTTCTGGTGTATAGCCTAGTGATTCATAAACTTACGTTTTAAAACCAGAAGATCATTCCTCAATAAATTTGGTTCCTAGATAGTAAAAACTGGTAACCTCCTGGAGTGGAAAGTTAGTATAACTTCTCAAAATGCCAGCTCTCACCCAGAAAATAACTGCTTTGGTCTCATAATCTGGCCTATTGTTACTAGTTTTGATACAGGAAAATGGGGTATGGGAGGATGGCCATGTCCCAGGTCTCAGGCAAGTCCCTGGGACATGCCCCGCCAAGTGAGGGTCCTTGGTTTTGCACAGGAAAGAATTCAAGAGCAAGCCATAGTAGAGTGAAGGTAGATTTTTTTCAGAGAGATACACACTCCACAGACAGTGTGGGCTGTTTCAGTAGGTGAGAGAGAGCGAGAGGCCTAGGAGATACACAATCCAAAGGCAGAGTTCGGGCCATCTTCAGAGGTGAGAGATAGTGGTCTCAGAGCATGGTGTCCTCTAGAAAAAAGTGAGATTGGCCACAAGGTGTGGGGTGGTTAAAGGAAAAGTAGATACATAATCCATAGACAGAGTGTGGGCTGTCTTTAAAAGTGAGAGAGAGTGACCACGGGGTGCAGGGTTGTTGATTTTTATGGGCTCGGTAACTTCATACGCCAGCAAGTGGCAGGATTATTCCAGCTACTTTGGGGAAGGGGCAAGGATTCCCTGGAATTGGGCCACCACCCACTTTTTGACCTTTTATGGTCAGCCTCAGAATTGTCATGATGCCTGTGGGTGTGTCACTCACCATCCTAACACAATACAGTGTGCGTGTAATGAAGCTCAAAGTCCGCTGGAGATCAGGTCTCCCTCCATCTTGGGCCTCAAGGTCCACTGGGAGTTGAATCTTGGGTTGCTATGTCATTGTTTTCATGGGTAGCCTTGCCCACTTCCCTCTTGTCTCAGTTTCACCAGTTTACTAACAGGCAGGTGAATGCTTGTTTTCTTTTGCATTAGTCAATGCATCAGCTATTTCTAATTCCATGTCCATTTTTATGATTGTATAAAGTCATTTTATGTAGTGTGACAGTTGAACTTTTCCTCCTCACTAAAGTGCAAGGTTTCTAGGGGCAAAGATACAGGGAAGGTGTCCAGGCATATGCATTGCAGCTGTTACAGGCTCGAGCTGACCAGTGCCTGGCACAGGGCAGGGGTTCAGTAAATGCCCACAGGTGATTTCATGTGAATGTCTCACAGGAACCTCAAATTTGACATATTTAAAACAGAACTAAAGCCTCTTCCCCCTACCTCTGCCCTCCCTGCCTCCCAGGATGAGGGCTTCTGTGCTTCCCATCTCCATGAGGGGCTCACCCTGCACCCAAGGGTCCCTCTCTCTTACTCCTGCATTCAATCACCAAGTCCTATCAGTTTCACCTCCTGAAAAACCCGCAGAATCACTCAGTTCCCTGCAACCCCAGTGTTACATCCTTATTTCACCCAAAGTCGTGATTCAAATGACCTTCCTCTGACAGTCTCCCCCTGCATGTCCTTCTTCCCCTGCAGCCAGTGATTTTTCTGATGTCACCCCAGACCCTTTCCTAGCTCTCTGTTACCCTTGGATGAGGTTCACATACTTGCTGATGTCTTATACAACCCGTTGTGATGTGCCCCCTGTCTCTTTCTCCAGCTGAGCTAATTTGATCTCCTTACGGGTGCCTGACCTTCCCTCACCTCTGTTCCCTTTGCCTGAAACATTCTCTTCCCTCTTCTTCTATCTCCTTTGCAGGCCTAATTCTTTTGCAGAGATGTTACTATTTGTTTTTCCATTATGATCTTTCTTCCTGTCAATAATAACAGGTTTATTTTCTCCAATTTTCACCTCCAAACACCTTTACACTGTTTTCTGTACACCTATGGAGAAACATCTATAAAACAGCTGGTTTTGTTTCTGTTTAGCAGAGGGGGAAACAGAAGCACTAAATATAAGAAACTAATGTCATGATTTTTGTCATGATTATTAAATTATCAAGATCTTAATGATCAGGAACAGGAAGTAGATCTGTGCTTTCTGTCCAGTTTTTGCACAGTGCCTAGGACAGAGTAGGCATTCAGTGCACGTTGAATGAATTTTTGAATGAATCTCAGTTTAAGCCTGAGGTGCCTCTCCCTTGAGTCAATGGAGCTTCTGTCTCATTGTTTATCCTCTAGGACAAATGAGGCCAGATTCCTCTGTGAGACCTCTTCTTCCAGAAGGGAAATACGCCTGGTGAGAGAATCTGGAAGCCTGTGTCGCTCTGAGTTGTTCGGGTAGATTCCTTTAATGTTGGCTGGCATGGATGAGAAGGCCTTTTGTTCTGGTGGCAATTAACAATGATTTGCACATTTAGTAATTTACAAAATGGTGGCCATCCTGACAACATAAGAAATACCTCTCTCTCCTGGACCATGAAAGCTGGTGACCCATCTATTTAAACCCAAGACTCGTTATGTGTGTTTCAGCCCTAGTGACAACTGCTACTGAATAGTTACTGTACTGAAAAGAATTCCATGTGGGTCATTTTAATGCTTCCCTAATTTGGATTTTTTTTCTTGTAGATTTTTCTTCAGAAAAGATGGTTATTTCTTTGAACTCGTGCCTGGGCTTTATCTGCTTATTGTTATGCCACTGGATCAGAACAGCATCATCTCTGAACCTTGAAGACCCTAATGTGTGTAGCCACTGGGAAAGGTAATAGTTTCAAAAGTCATTTGAGAAGTAATTTCTGATAGATTCCTTTATGTACTATCATTATCAGTTTCATATATCAAATCAGAATTTCAGAAGAGATTGTAAAATTCCTTTTATGTAAAAATCGTTAGTTATATGTAATGAATTAGATAGTATAAGTCACTTGGTCTTAGAGAATATAATGTAAAAAAAAAACCCTGATATATTGATTCTTACACAGGTGTGATTGTAAGTCCAGGGGAAACATGAATAACTCTATTAAAGTGACCTCCCTAAGGGCTTCTGCCTGCTCTGTATCTATTTGCAATAATTTGGTGGAGCTGGACTTACGTGTGGGCAGCAATAAGAGCAGTGGGAGACAGTAGGGAGTAACGTACTACAGTGCTGAAATGTATGGCATAAAAAATTCTGTGGTAGGTGGCCTGAAGGAGATGTGATTTCTGGAGGAACTGGCAAGGCTGCATGGAGATGGTGTCACCTGAGATGTCTCCGAAAACCTGAATAAGACTAATGGATGACAGTGATTGGAGGGATTCTAGGAAAGGAAGGTAGTTTGAAACCAGTGCCATGCAGACCATGAAACGCTGTGACCAACAAGATGAGGGTCAGTACAGTATTGGAGGACAAGACTGAGTAGATTATATGAAAGCAGATGATGTAATGTCCAGATATGTGTCCAGATTTGCAGTAGGAAATACAGAGGAAGTACAAAATAAAAGGTCATCTCATAGTCCCTTTGGAACACAAAAATAGCTCGAATCATCTAGTGATATCGTAGTGCAGTCCAACGCAGTTTACTCTGCTCTAATGCTACTTGCATTCCTAAGAAAGTATGTATCTTTATCCAAAATTAACACTGCAAATTTTTCAGACAAATAGACAGTATGGGGTACTAAGAGTAATACACCTTTTTAATAGCTGTAAGTGCAATGACATCAAACTCTTGGTCTTTTTATCCCATCACCCTCAGCACCATGCTTAGTGCACCACAGTACACATTCTCATCACTGTCGTCACCCATGGGTAGGATGCACAAAGCTCAGAGGCTTTCAAGCACAGCAGCTGTGTTATTCTTGGGGCACACTGGTTCCTTACTCACAGTGCTTTTTTTTGGCGAGGGCCGGTCCACATCTCCATTGGCAGTATTACAGTTAGGGTCACAAAAACATATTTCCTTGATGGATCAATAGAGTTATGTATCATTATGACACTTTAAGCTGTAGAAGAAACATGTATGTGTAATAAAGTTTACATATTTGTGGCATTGACTATTATACAGAATTTACGAGGAGGGACCTCCTATTAATTATCTTTATAATTTTCACAGAACCTTCCAGAAAACATTTCACCCACAAAGTACATAATAAATATTTATTAAAGTAATAAAAAGTGAATCAATGAATACATGAATTACGGGTACATATCAAATTTAGAAAAGGGGGAGTCCATTGGTGGTTGAACTCCTTGGAGGATGATAGCTTTGGAATGGAAGAAAAAGTCAAATTTGTAAGATTTCGTGAAGTAAGAATCAAGAGGCTTTAGTGATACATTAACTGTAGGATGTGAAAGAGGCAGAAAAGGCTGAGCTTTAGAATCTGCTGCGGGAAAGAGTGGAGGTGTAATTGCACATGTGGAAAAAAAAAGGAAGGGATTTGATTTGACAGGGAAGAGATCACTGATTTTGTCATGTTGTGGTCGTAAGATCGAGTAGATACATGGGCCAGGAAGTGTTTGGGAATATAGATTTGGGAGTCTCCAGCATGATGAGACCTGAACAGATGAACTCTCTGAGGGAGAGGCTCTAAAGAGAAAAGAACCCAAGTCTGCAAGTAATCCAGCACCCACTCAAATGTACACATTTTGTCCTGATTCCTTGCTCAATATTTAGCTAAACTTACCAACACATAACTGCATTGTTCTGTTTGCCATTTTTAATTCCCAGTGTCTAAAACACTGCCTTGCATATGGTATGTGCTCAGTAAATAATTGTTGATGAGGAAGCTCATGCTTTGATGGGAAATGATGAAATGTGGACATCACTAGTAGGGGCAGCAGGGAGAGAGAGAGCAGAAGCATGTTAATCTCTAAACGTAATGTAATTCCATTCTTGTACAAGTGATTAGAGTAACTTCTAAAGTACTAATGGGGAGGGAAATTGAGTGTGGAAAAAATCAGGAAATGATGGATATTTTTTTCCTGTCCATATTTTTCCAAGAACTGCTAGAAAGAAAAATTGACAGCCAAAATCTTCTTACTGATAAATTTGCTGTTATAAAGCTTTGAAGACAGGTTAAAAAAAAAAAACTGAAATTGCTTTGGCAACAGTGCAGAAAGGAGTATTTATTATTTAAAAGATCAAATAAAGGTGTTGGTGATAAACAATAAGTTCATACTGTAAAGCACAGGGAAATATATTCAGTATCTTATAGTAACTTATGGTTAAAAAGGATATGAAAATGAATATATGTATGTTCCTATATGACTGAAGCATTATGCTGTACACCAGAAATTGACACAACATTATAAACTGACTATACTGTAATAAAAATATATTTAAAAAACAAAACAAAAACAAACAAATAAGAGTGTTGGTGACAGGTTCTCCTGTGTTTTCAAAAACTGAAATGAGCTTGAATTGAAATGGGCAGAAGATGATTAGCTTCAAGGACAAAATTCCTGGAGGTAGAGCTGAGTAGGGCTCATTGTAGGTTTTCCTTATACTCAAACACACCTGTCACCAACATCCGAGCCCTGGCCTCACCTGTAGCCTTATTTCTTAGAGTGTGGTCTGTGAAACTGTAGTGGCAGGAACCTCAGCTGGGAGCTTGATGGAAATGCAGACTCTCAGGTCCCTCCCCAAACATACTGAACCATTTGCTTTCAAAGAAAAGCATGCCTCATTTTAATGCAGCAGTTGTGATTCTTAGAAGTTGTACATGAAATGAAATTAAGGAAAATTAAATCATTTAAAATACACAAGGGATGCTTGTTATTAAAGGAATTCTGTACCGCATCCTTTTGGAAAATGAATAATGCCATGAATCATCTGTTCCTTCTCCACATTCCCTTTCCCTGTTGTGTGGGTTTAAGCGTTTCCCTCTTTTGGGGTTTCTTCTAAAGAAGGCACAAATAAAGAGAAGCCATTCTCTGCCCAGTCCCTTGGGGGTGGGACACATACTGGTAGTAATTGAAGCTGCAGTCGTGAAGCAAACAGTTAAGAAATGATCATTATTACCATATCTGATTAAGTAACAAGGTAATTTAGGTAGATCAAATGTAATTAACCACTTTGGAATGTGTCCAAGTGATGATGGCTTTTCCTCCCCCTGTTCTTTGACCTTAAATCAAATCTTGCTGGCGTTCCTCTGCAGATAATACTTAATAGGTTAGAATCATGATGATGATATGTTTTCAATGTGTTTGAGAAGGTTAAACAAACAAGCAGGAGATAAAGAGTTTAGCATCTTGATGTTGGAAATAGTGCAGAATTGAGATCAAATTCCTTTTATACTACAGTTTGCCGCTCACTGTCTACTGTAGAAACTTTAGCTGTTCTAGTGACATCTGAGAGGGACAGAGGGGCAGGATGGTGTCTGGGGGGTCCTGGTGTTAGTGCTAGCTCCAGACTGACCACTAGTACTGGGATCTCGTTGCTTATTTGTGATGAAAATGGGATTGGGCTAGACAATCGAGAAGATTCCTTCCCGTTCTGTGACTTTAAGAGCAGCTGCAGCTGAACATGGAGGTGTGGCTTGTTAGCAAAGGTGCTAATTAAGTTTAAACAGCATCCCAGGTACTGGCCAGAGAAGCAGTGATAAGGACCAGAGGAGGCCGTCCATTTCTCAGAGATATTTTCCTTCATGATGCAGGCACACAGCTTCCAGAACGTGGCTTGAAAGGTGACAAAAACTTAATTGTCTAAAGATTAGTAGGTATGGAGCAAATTTGGTGTAGTCACGAGTATTTGGCAGTCATAGTTTGACTAACATGGAAAAATGCTTATGATATGCTCTTAAAGTAGGTTTAAAGGTATGTGCATAGCATGAATATAAAAATATAAAAACAAAAAAGCTAAACTAACACTAAAAACTAAGAACCCCTAGCAACTGTAAAGAAATTCAGCCAAATGGTGGTGGTGATTAGGTCAGACTTAGGAAATTCTCTCACTGTCTTAAAAGTTTGTTTTCTAGATTTTCTACTGTGACGATAATATTAAAAATGAAAAATAAAAAGAGAGATTGTTTAGAAAAGAAAAAAGAATGTATAAAAGAATTTTGGATTGAAAAGGCTTAGAACCCTTCTGTAAACTGGAAGCCTCAGTATCTGATCAAAGGGAAAAGTAATTTACGTTCAGTCTGTTCTTCGTTGAGTTTGAGACTCCGAATAATTCTAATGAGAAGTGTTAAGATTGAAGAGAAATGCTCCACCATAGTGAATTTTAGATTCCGATTTCCCCCAAACTGTATATGTCTCTCCATTAAAGTCATAGCATGTTATTTTTAGCATTTATTTGCTTGCTGGCTTCTCTTTGAGGGCAGGAATTGCATGTGAGTTTTTCAATAATTGTTTGTTGAATTGAAATATTTAATGGTTTGATTACCCTTTTATAGAGATGAGCTTTTTTTATGTCTTAAAAGCAGAGACACATCCTGCAATGTGTGCTCTTGGTGAAAAGCTATTGTCCAGAAGAGGAAATTCCTGTACTGTAACATTTTCTCCGTGTAAGCAACCTTCCAGGCTGCTAGAAATTAGTGAAGACACTTTTCACATGTGCTTGTGGAGTCAACTCCCCCGTCACATACAGTGGCCTGTGTTTGCTGATCATTACTTTTGCTCTCCAAAGCGTTCAGACCTTAACACCATAACGTGGCCTGCAACATTTCGTGGGAATACTGCATCACATCTTGTTCCAACCGACTAATTTAGTTCAGCTCGATTAGTGTTGTAAGGCCTGGGAGATGACATTGTTTTACCCAAGTGGCATTAATTTAGAGTGGTTTCTTTCGCATTCCTACCGCACACGTGAAAAGCTGCTCTGTGTTGCTCGAGGGTAACGTAGGACTGCCTGTAGAGCCGTCCCACACACAGGACATGCGTTTACTTTGTTCTCTACTGGAACTGGAGTGGGGAGAGAAGGCTGCAGGCCTCAAGACTCAGTTATTTACAAGCAGCTGGAGAGGGAGAAAAAAGGATTGGCTAGGAAGTCTTAGAATTTGCATCATCCTGAACCTCAGGACACTGCTAGGGGTCTGAAGGAAATACAAGTAACTTCATGTGATAGTTCCCTCCAAGAACATTTATGTTTTAACTGCGGCCTCTCGCTTTAACCTGAAGGAGTTACATCAGAGATGTAGGGAGTCACATACTCTATACTTGTCTGAACCTGTTCTTGTAGGGTGTCATCTGTAGGAGTGGAAGGAAGCAGTCCTCTAAAATGCATGTTAGAAATCCAGAATGCCAAGTCAGGAACATCTGACCCCCTGCTTTTAAGATGTCATCATCAAAACCTAGGAAAGTGAGCTTATCTGCTGAAGGTCAGGCAGTTTCTCAGGATCAGATCAGGATTCTAACCCTGCCTTCTTGTAATCCAGGGATCTTTTCAGTAGGACCTATTGCCCCTGCTTATAATTTGTGAGGATCCCTAAATTTACCTAGAAATCAAGTTGCAATGTCACAGAGAATAAAATACACAAGTGTGAATAGTGTAATTAGTTTATGGATGTCTCATAATGACTAAGGGAGGCCACCTGGAGAAAGAACTCCCACTGTTTGTGAGGCCAGTTCTGCTCTCTATCTAACCTGAATTCTTCATGCTGAAATTTTAACCTCATTTCCTTCCATACCGTATATAGTTGATAGTTCGTATTAATGAACTTGGGTTATTGATCTGCAGCAAGTGAGTACATGAGTGTGACCCTTTTTTTTTTTGGTAGTTAGTGTGAATTCAAGATTTTAGTGGGAATCTTTAAGAGACTGTTAAAGAAAATAGAATAAATTGTTCTGAAAAGGGAATTCTCCAGATTTTCCTGTAGGCCAGAAATCTAAGCTCTTGTGCATATAATAGACTGCTTTGGAATGAAAAAGTATCGGGGGAGGTAGAGGGTGGAAAGGGATAGACTGGGATTTCAAAATTGTAGAATAGATAAACAAGATTACACTGTATAGCACAGGGAAATATACACAAAATGTTATGATAAATCACAGAGGAAAAAAATGTGACAATGAGTGTGTATATGTCCATGAATGACTGAAAAATTGTGCTGAACACTGGAATTTGACACAACACTGTAAAATGATTAAGAATCAATAAAAAATGTAAAAAAAAAAAAGAAAAAGTATGGGATTTGAACATCACATGGTCTGTATAGTTCATGGATGTTTCCCCCCCACATTCTTAGGCCCACAGAATTGCATGCTTTTACTCTAACAAGAAGCTGTTAGTGAAAATATATTGGAAAACAGACTGTTTAATTAGTAGCAGGTTGTTGGTAAGATTATCTCAGGCTAATTGTCTCAGCCATGTGTTTAGAATCAGGTTTAAAGACTTTCTAGCTTTTATGGAGAGGTCGTATATATTCTTTCATTGCCTGAGAAGTAGGGCAGGCACACAAAACGAAATTATTCCAAGTTCCAACCAGAAAAGTATACTCTTTCTGATTTTCTGGAATCGGTAGCTAAATGTACTCGAGTTGTCTCTTTGCTGATTTACCCTTATTATTTACAGAAGGCCTAGATCGAAAACTTTTTGTTAAATGTCTTAGTTGTCCTTGGACCCCTGGGGGCTGGGGGATGGAATTAAATACAGAAAAATACGTGGTGATATGCTTTTAAATTTAGGAGTATCAGAGTTTACGGTAATTCATCAATGAGAATTTTTTGGAAGCTTATTGCAAGAACTCCTGTCTTAAATATATTAATATTAGATTAGAAGTTTGGGGTTAACAGATACACGTGACTATACATAAAATAGATAAACAACAAGGACCCACTGTGTAGCACAGGAAACTATATTCTGTTTCTTGTAATGAGCTATAATAGAAAAGGATCTGAAATTATATGTGTATGTATGTATAACTGAATCGCTTTGCTGTACACCTGAAACTAACATTGTAAAATGACTATACTTCAATAAAAATAAGAATTACAAATGTATTATTAATATTGGACCATTTGGGGTTCTAGTTCAAATAGAAACCTGTAAACATAGACATTTTCTGTTAAGTCAGTGTGGAGTTGCAAGTGGAAATAATTTAGCCTACGATTGTTTTTTGTACATAGCAAATCATTAATGTAAGAAAGAGTAATACCGATTCCTTCTCTTTCCTCTTCTTTTCAGCTATTCTGTGACCGTACAAGAATCGTACCCACATCCCTTTGATCAAATTTACTACACTAGCTGCACTGACATTCTGAACTGGTTTAAATGCACGCGGCACAGGTAATGGAAGCTCAGCTATATTGATGAGTTTGGCTAACTGGGAAGGACTCTGATACAATCAGGGATATTAAACACTTAAGAAGGTGCATCCGTTCATCTAGTGAATGGTTACTGAGTGCTTGCTATTGGCATAGCAGTATATTCCAAATCACAGGAGACAGAGAAAAGCAAAAATGTTGTCTGTGCACTTAAAAGAGCTTGCACAGAAAACTTCTCCCGATTACCTTCATTTGGTTAGCAAGAATTCACCCAGCTGTTGGGCATAACTAGGGGGAGACACCAGATAACAAGAAACTCGTATCCTACCCTCTATTTCTATTTGAACATCTGATTCAGTTCAGACTAACTTAAATTTGACCTCACCTTAAGCCAAAAGAAGCCACAGTTTTTTTTTCTAAAATGTGAAAACAGAAACAACATATTAAATAATAGTGTTAATAGGGAAGAAAACTGTGGTACCTTGAATTCATTAGTGAAATACTTAGAGTTATATGGGTCCTGGGTGGAGCGTGACACCTTCTGATTTCTGCTACACTAAATGATGTTTGTGTTCAGTGTCATTTCTTCAGGCAAGCTTTCTTTGACCACTTTGTCTAAACCAACTTTCCCATCCTGTCACAATCTATTCCCTGATTACTCAATCACAGCATTTAATCATTACCAGCTACTATTTGATGCATTTGTTTGCTTAATGTGTGTATTAAATTCTGCAGATCTGTATTCCCCAGTGAGAGCAAGAGTTTTATGTTTTTTCACTCACTATGAGCTCTTTCCTCAGTGCCTAAGAATATAAGAAGTGCTTAATAAATGTGTGTTATAGAAATGAATCAGTAAATGAATGAAGCTTTAGTTAAATGTATAGGTCTTTGTCTATTAGCTTTCTGTTTTATAGTGAGATAAGACTACACTGACAGATTTTTTAAAGAATTCTGTGAATTTTTCCTCTAAAGTGTATGTAGATAAATGATGGATTATTAGGTAAGTATCATGTATGAAATTAATACCTTCCAAGATATCTCAAGATAAGTGAAGTAGGGAGGTCATGAAACTTCTGATCCTTTGAAATAAAGTGTAGGTTGGCTTAAATGGGCAATCAGTATATTCTTAGCAAATTGGGGAGTTAGCATAATACTGGTCAAAACGTATATCCCATGTTTCTTCTTAAATATTTTGGAGTACTTTACTTCTTATACTTTTATTATACTTAAGAGTTCTTTTTTGTATTAAAAGATAAATTCTTGGTTTTGAAGCAAATTGCAGGTTAAAAGAAGTAACAGTGTGGTTTTCCCCTTTATATAGAATCAGTTATCGGACGGCCTATCGACACGGAGAAAAAACTATGTATAGGCGCAAATCCCAGTGTTGCCCTGGATTTTATGAAAGCAGGGAAATGTGTGTCCGTAAGTAAGATTTATACCTCTTGAAGGTTCATTTATTTTTTGCTATGTTGGTTTGTGTCTGTTAACGGCAGCCGAGACGGAGGCCTGGGGAGATGGGGCACCTCGGATCATTTCCTTTTACTCACTGCTGCTTTCTTGATCTCTAAGGAAGGACGCATTCACTGTGTCCCGCTGTCCTATCAAAAATATCCAAATGAATGTCATTTGAAGAGAAAACAGATACTAGAGAAAGATAATTCAAGGCCGAATGCTGCAGTGTGGTTACAGCTGTTCAGTACACGTCTGTTTGGAAACTGGTCAGGGAGTCATTAGACTTAGGTCACAGAAGAGAACAGAGATATAACCTTCCTGCAACAGCTCCCCAGAGTCCGGAGTCAACTTCCGAGAGGCCAGCTTGTTCTTTCCTGACACAGAATGATAGGCTTCTTAAAAGTAGAGGCACTTTCACAGTGAGAGATGACTATACGTCTGGGTCACAGAGTAGACATTCTTCCATTGTCATTTCTCTCTCCTGTCCTCTCCCCGTCTTGCCAATTCATCCTAAGGTACCTTGAGATAAGTTTGATGTTTTATGATACCCTTTAGGAAATCCTAGAATATCATGCGAGGTGTGTTTTGCAGTTGGGGTTTCTTGCTGTGGTGTGCAGGACACTTAGAAGAGAGATCATTCACAATGATTTTATTGAAATATTTTGGCTCAACACAAAGCTAGAGGAACACCTATGCTTTCTGAGCCAAGATGCTGGTGTTGAGTAGCATCGAGAGAGACAAAGTTCTACTCTAACTTGGAGGCAGTAGGAATGATTGGACGCATTTGGGCTTAAAACTCCACGGAGCTGAGTGATAGCACTGGCTCTGACACACTCCACTGGGTGGCCTTGGATAATCCATTTTTAGCTCTTTGAGGCTAATTTGCTTGAGTAGAGAGAGGGCTTGGGCCAGTGTATGTCATCTTTCAATCCCTGGATTCTAGTCTCTATATAGTCATGGGTGATTCCTCAAATTTGATTCAAAACCGAAGCTATATATCATAATAAATGTGCATTGAAAAAGCATTAGAAAATGTACCTGGACAAAAAGAAGAAAATACAAATACATTGCAAATGTCTCTCCTGGTCAGTAAATGTACTTCTGTAATGTATTGCAAATGTCAGTATGTTATTACATTATAGATTTTTATTTAACTGATCTCAACTGTTGAGTAGTTATATGATTTCCAGGTTTTACCTACTATGGACTGCTTTAGAAGACATTATGGTTAAGTTTTTGTTTGTATATGTAATTAGTAAGGATAACTTCCTAGAAGTAGAATTGCTGGGTCAGAGGTATATACATACACATAGAATGTTTGGTGTGTTTCCAGTTTATACCCCCATCAGCAGTATAGAATGTCTTTTTGCTTATACTCTGTGCTAATTTTCTCTTTGCTATTTTTCTTTATTTGCATGTCTTTGATTAATAATGATGCTGAATAAGAAAAATTACATGTTTATAATCAAACTTCTTAGAGAAAAATCACAAACTTATCTCTTTGACCCTGGCTGATGGGAAATTTTCAAAGGAAAGCCCTGAATACACATGGCGTGGAGAGTGGGGAGGCCTGGCTGGTGAGGCTGGCCACTGCCTGGAGGCTTCCAAGTGACATTATCTCGGTGTCCTTGCTAGGATTCAGACTTAGAACACAATTGTCAGCACACTGAGAAAACAGTTTTATCTCCCAGGATTCATTTCTGTTAACCCAGGTCATAGGAATCATGTTTAAAGCCAGGATGCTAATTCATTGTTATAGAGAACCTGGAGAGGTGCTTACACACTCTTCTGGCCATACCTCCTCTTCTTGAAGGTCTGGCATGTGGGAAGCTGCATTTTACTGGCAGCTGATGTAGGGGAGCATGGATCCGAGCAAGGTTATTTAGAGAATTTCAGTGCTTAATGCTTCCAGCCTTCCACAGCAGACTGACTCAGAACGCAGCACAATCCCACCGCACCGTCATACCTGGTAAAAATTATTACCATCATAGGATGGCAGAGATAACTTTTCCTTGATCCCACACTAGACAGATTGCAAAGTATCCTCCTGACTGCTTGGATGGACATCTCTAGCATTTGCCTCTAAAATTCTTTTCTAAGCCTTCTTGGCTGACCAACTGCCCTGGAGACTGAAACATTTTTCCTTTAGATATGTTAATGTATTTAATCAGCTTACTGTCAGTCTCAGAGGCCTGGGAGCTATTTGGTGTCTTTAGGGTATTTTGCATCTCTCCCCTCTGATGTCTTCATTCCATAGTTAAACCCCAGAGGATGGTAGAGCTTCCCTTACTCCCCCTGTTCTTGGGGACGCCTCTGGTAAGTCTTCCCTACTCTCAACAGCTGGCTCTAGTGAGGCACCCTTGTGGATACAGAAGGAAGAGAGGACACATGATTCTTGGTTCTGCTTTCAGAATTTTTTTTTTTGACTAGGTTTTGCTGCCAAACATATAGCATAGCCACTATTTTTAACCTTTTTCTAGGAAATTATCAAAAGGAATTGAAACATAGGAATTGATTATAATTTTAGTTTAATTTTTGGTAGTCAGTTTCTAGCTGGAAGGCAAAAAAGGATGTTTTCACGTAACTACCTATATTAGAAAACCAGTTTTTTTAAGGTAGCTGGAGAAGCTCTTCTGGAGAGCACGTCCCATCCTTCCATTTCTCCCCACCCTTGCTTTGTCCTGCCGAGATTACACATTTCTGCTAAACTCTCAGGCTGTGCAGAGCTGCTAGTCCACAGAGGACACTCTGAATAACAAGGCTCTTTGTTCAGAAGATAGACATGTGCCATTAGGTGAGAAGAGTCAAAATGGAGAGTGTAGGGAATCGCGTGGTTAAAACCCTTTCCTAAGAGTCGGATTGGAAAAAGAATGGATTGGAAAATTTTCCGTAAAGAAAACATTACTACACATGAAGATGTCTGTGATTCCTCCATGAGATTTTAACCTGTTCAGAAAATTAATTAAACTTCTAAGTGTATTCATTTTTCCGAGTTATTGTTATTGCCTAATCATGTGTTTCATTACCTTTTTAAAAAATGGAATGTCATTTATTTCTTTTCTTGACTTAAAAAAATTGAAATATAGTCGACATACAGTATTATTATGACATACAGTATTATTAGTTTAAGATTACTACGTAGTGATTTGACATTTGCATATGATGGGAAATGATCTCCACGATAAGTCTAGTATAATCTGTTTCACCTATTTCACCCCCACCCCAAAACCACTTATTTGTTCTCAATATCTAGGATTCTGTTTTCATTTTGTTTTGTTGTTTTTAGATTCCACATATAGGTCAGATCATACAGTATTTGTCTTTCTTTGACTTATTTCACTTAGCATATTACCCTCTAGATCCATTCATGTTGTTGCAAATGGCAAGAGTTCGTTCTTTTTTATGGCTGAATACTATTCCACTATCTATATCTATATAGATATAGATAGATAGATACCACATCTTCTTTATCCATTTATCCATTAATGATACTAAATTGTTTCTATCTGTTGGCTATTGTAAATAGTGCTGCAGAGAACATGGAGGTACAGATTTTTTTGTGTGTATTAGTGTTTTATTTCCTTCAGATAAATACACAGAAGTAGAATTGCTAGAGTGCATATTGTAGTTCTATTTTGAATTTCTTGAGGAATACCCATACTATTCTCCATAGTGGCTGCACCAACTTACATTCTTACCAACATTACAAGAGGGTTCTCTTTTCTCTTTCTGTAAGATATGGTTCAGTTTCCTTTTTTTTTGCATGTGACTGTCCAGCTTTCCCAACATCATTTATTGAGAAGACTGTTCTTTCTCTCATATATTCTTGGCTCCTTTTCCATTAATTAGTTAACTATATATGCATGGGTTTGTTTCTGGACTCTCTATTATGTTCCATTGATCTACATATTGTTTTTATGCCACTACCATACTGTCTTGATTACTAGAGCTTTGTAATAAAGTTTGAAATCAGGAATTGTAATACCTCTAGCTTTGTTCTTCTCTCTCAAGATTGCTTTAGTTATTTGGGGTCTTTTGTGGTTCCACACAAATTTTAGGATTCTTTTTCTACTTCTGTGAAAAGTGCCACTGGAAATTTGATAGTGATTGAATTGAATCTGTAGGTGGCTTTGGGTAGTATGGACATTTTAACAATATTAATTCTTCCAACCATGAGCATGGAATGTCTTTCCATTTATTTGTATCTTCTTCAGTTTGTTTCCTTAGTGTCTTAAAGTTTTTAGTGTATAAGTCTTTCACCTCTTTGATTAAATTTATTCTGATATTTAATTCTTTTTGATGCAATTATAAATGGGATTTTTTTCTTAATTTCTTTTTCTGATGGTTTTTTAACTTAGTGCTAATAATTAATTTTTGACTTACTAAAGTTGGAAATCCAAAACCTTGTTGCTTCTCAGCATAAAAAACAAACTTATGGTTACTAAAGGGGGAAAGTTGGGGGAGGGATAAGTTAGGAGTATGATATTTACAGATACAAACTACTATACATAAAATAGATAAGCAACAAGGATTAACTATATTACACAGGGAACTATATTCATTATCTTGTAATGGCTGTAATGGAGAATAATCTGAAAAAAATATGTAATTGAATAACTTTGCTATATACCTGAAACTAACACAAGATTTTAAATCATCTATACTTCAATAAAACAACAACAACAACAAAACCCCTAGTTGTTTAAGCTACATTTATCTTACAGATATTTCATGTATCAGTATAACAAACTTTAACAAATACATCAAAGGGCCTTTGATTAATGTTCTACATATTTAAACTCCATCAGGTGTTTAAAATAGGATTTGTATATTTAATAAATTTGATTTCTGTTTTAAATGATTCAACTTTTAGGCTGACAAGCCATCCTGTGCTTAAATAATTTTTGTAAATTTGATAAGTTCAATTTATTAATAAGGTAGAATCTTAAATTAGTTTAAATGTTCTAATA